GTGCTGCCTAAAAGTGAGGCATTTCTCCACAACCCAGCATTGTAAATCTTGACCTTGTTTTATGCTCTTCGGTTCTAGGAAGGAATTTTGTTCAAAGTTTTGACTGAACTGTCGTCTTCGTAGGCCTGAACATGTTCCAAGGATTAGATTAAGCTTTACCCCACCAGGTGTTCCTGACTCTTGCGGTTCCGACATCCTGCCCGCAGTCCCACAATCAGAGTTCAATACCGTAAAAGCAAACTCATTGGCGATCTCACCGTTTAGGCGACAATCTAGTAACCTCGTACGTACAAGTTAACGACTTACAAGTAGTTGCCGAGCGTACAAGAATGGAGAAGCTGGAGAGTTCAGCATTATTGTTTTAACTAGCCGCAGCAGCGGCAGAAAGAGGTCCTACGAGAATCGATTGCGACTATCAAGGTCGCGTATGAACGCATTCTGTTACTCCGGCAAGACGTGGCGAGAGAATGACATATCCAGGCGTGACGAGGTAGTAACGCCACCCTCCCCCCCCCTTCCCACCTACAAATAACTACCCCGTTAAGTCAGCGTCCTAAATAATGTGAGAGTGAAAGTTTCGATATGAAGTGTACATTTCAGGCAAATCCACCGTCACTGCTTTCAAATGTCCAGTATGTCCAGGGATTCGGCGGGTCGCTTCTCGACGGAGCAGAAGGGTATTGGTGGACGCAGTTTACAGCTGCAATAGAATTTGTGAAAACTCTTCTGTAAATATGCACACCTTGGGACCACCTTTCAGAGATAACTTTTATTTAAGAATGTTTGTGGTTTTATGCAGAAAAAAATTTAGACAAATATATGAGCCAGTGCTGTACTATTACTCAGAGTGACCAATGTTTTATTACGGAAAATATATTATATTTACGTATAAAGTTTGTGATAAATATTAATTGTTGTTTCTCATCATAATTATTGTGGGGAACTAGACCTGGTGTTAAAAATGTTGAAAATGAAGAACAAGAAAAAGTGCTTCCATCCAGAGAGACTAGCAGATCAACATGGCTCAGAAACCATGAAGATGAGGGCCGGGAAGCAGGACTTTATGGTGTTGCGGAAGTGAGAGTGCTTCAATAGAGTTGGGATGTACACCACTCGAATGTGCCTTGAATGAAGCCGTCCCAGACAAAATTGAGGTCGATTCGATGACTGACCCTCTCACCGCTTGTACTCCATATCCCAGAGATGGAGAGTCCGTGGCTGCGGGCTTCATTTAAAAGTGGCGGCAGCAGCACTGCTAGAAGGATGTTGCAGTTTCAGAAGAGTTACAGCCATGATTTTGTCCAGTACAAGATAGCACAACACGTATGAAATGGAAATAACCCAAAAACAAGCAACGCCTCCTACGCCATGGTCAAGTACGCAGTCACGCCCACTGCTTCGCTGAGATATGTGGTGCACCTATTGTTGAATTGTACTCTGTCTCTGTCTCTTGTATCTGACAAATGAAACAAGCTCAGGAGTAGCCCTGGGGAAGGTCCGTTTCTGTCAGAGAAGCATAGCGCCCCTATACAAGTATGGCGTGCAATTTGAAAGGTTCTGAACCACTGTTCTTTGGACGAGTCAGCCCCGAGGCATTAACTGGTTATGCTTTTGCATTCGATTTCCATCAGGAAATTGGGCTTCTGACTGCTACTATGTATTTTTTTTCTGTTATCACAGAACTGCCGTTTTCACTTCGTGGTAGATATCGCCATCGCAACCCCTATCATTCTAGGAGGCTATGACACCCCTTTATGTTCTAATGGACATATGCTTGGCACGACTAGAGCAAAAACGATTCGGAATCAGAAGTATCTAACTAGGGAAGGTCGTCAGGTCGAAGTGGCCATTTGTAATGAGATGTAGCTCACTAGACGTGGTTTTGGACGCTGATCTCGAATCTGCCTTTGAAATTTGCAAGCGATTCTCTGAACGGAGTTATGGAGCCGCGTTTACCACGCAACAGGTCGTGGGATCGGATCCCTGCTGAGCTTAACTTTTTTGCTTCTTGTGCAAACGTGGCAAAAAGTGGTTGTAGCGTCACTACATTAGCGCTCTCCTCGACTTGCCTGAAAAACAGTTCTGTATTCGGTAGTGTCCAACTTCTCTCTTCGTAAAACCTCGGCATTGTTGTTACGTTTGATAAGTTCTTCTGTGCACACGAGGTTGGTAGGTGGAACTTTATTATGGCCTGACGTTTCGACTAGATCGTCTTCATCAGAGGCCTAAACGTGGCTCATGTTTCAAATTGCTCTCTCTACACCGCCAAAGATCTCCTCTTCCCTAACGTTTCTGACAGACTACTGAGAAAACCCCGAAAATCCCGAATGAGGGAAAGACTCACCCAGTCCACCACAGCGAGAGCGGATGTAGCCGCTCAGTTAGTTGTTAGTACAATGAGTGGAACTTACTGCGCCGATTATAGTCAGATATGGCACGTCCAGACGCTATGGACTGTGGTGGACTGGGTGAGTCTTTCCCTCATTCGGGATTTTCAGGGTTTTCTCAGTAGTCTGTCAGAAACGTTAGGGAAGAGATCTTTGG